CTGCCCTCTGGAATGAATTTCCCCCTGAGATTAGGATGGCTTCCACCCTGTTTGCATTCTGGAGGGCCATAAAGACCTGGCTGTTCTCCCAGGCCTTGGGCTAAGGCGTCTGGAGCCCCTTCCATTGGAAGTTAGATATTGGTGGGATGTTTGGGGGTATCCTTTTTTTCTTTCCCTTCTAGTTTGGTGTTGTTGTTTATTGCTTTTTATTGTACTGTTTTTATGTTATCTGGTGTATTGTGACCTGCCCAGAGTCATTTGGAGCAGGGCGGCATCAAATTGAATAAAATAAAAATAAATAAAAATCCTTGGGGGGAAAGCTCCATATTACTGGAATATTTAGCCAACTAAAGTTTTCAAGAATTCTTCACCAAGAAAGATTATGTTTTAAAAGATCAGGGGAAAAAGAAAGCGAGAAGGAGAAGGAAAAATGTACCTGGCATTTGAGTAATGGCTGGTTGAGTAAGGGTTAGTCACCTTAGATGGAATGTGTTGCAGATTACAGACTTTCTCAAAGGTTCCAAAATAAAGAAACAAGCAACCAATTGTTGGTTTCCCATTTTGGAAGTACAAAATTCAAGAATTATGTCAAGCTTAGGCAAACCCACAAAATTTGGGAAATAAAAAACAAAAAACAGATAAATGAGGCAGTTTTTATATTAGCAAACCTGGAGGTGATTTTAGGTGTTGTACTAAAAAGAGTCATTAGAAGACAAATCAAATAGGATTATCTAGTGCTAAGAGAACATGGATTCCAGAGAATATAGTCTACTTAATGCTCTACATTTCTCTTCCTCTTGTGCAAGATTTTGTTGCTAGTTGCTTAATTTGCTATTTTCTAATGCACCCATCCCAAACTAACCCTACTACATTTGGAAAGTAATGAAATCTGAAATAGTAGTATAACTCAACTATAACAGTATAATAAATAATAGTATAGTATAATAAATAATAGCAAAAGTAAAATAAATAATAATATAACACAACTATAATTGGCATACATTGCTAAAGAAGAATTAAAATGCTAATACATCTGGTCAATTAATAAAATGGATATCAGTTTAATGAGATCATAAACATGTTACACCAAATCAGATATCATTTATATTTAAAGATACTTTAAGTTTTTAAAAAGCATTTCCTATTCCATTTGTGTACTGTTATAAGGGCTAGCAGACATAAAAGGAAGTCTGGCAGACAAAGGGTTTTTTTTTTTTTTATGTTTCAGTATAGTCATCAGTTATCACTAGCATTTTAAACCCAAACTGACAGGTAAATGATGCCATTTACTTAGAAGAAAAATCCATTGTCTTATAAGAATAATAATGGAGCTAGTTAAAACACTGCATACACTTTGAAGCTAAAAGGTTCAGCTATTGTAATCCAGGTTTTGGCAAAAAGTAACAGAATACCCTATGGATCTTATTTAAAAAAGAGTATGTTCAGATTACTACTGTGAATCCAGATGTGCAAAGCAAATACAGAGAATTTCCTTTACCCACTTGGTTGATGGAATGTCCTTTTTTAAAACAAAATTTCCTCTGTAAAAGAAATCAAAGCAATTTTATGGAATTCTGTATTCACCCACTTACACCTTGACCCCAAGAAGAAATATTTCACAAAAAAGAGCATAGATTTGCATATTCTATGCATAGCTTGTGTGTGTGTGTGTGTGTTTGATATACTTTAGGTAGAAAAACCATATCATCATAGTATAGATAAAAGTTTGATGAGATAACCTGCATGCCTGGTCTGTTGGTTGTTCAGATGCTAATTGTTGAAAGAGAATTGGAGAGCCCATATTCTCTCTTCTAATTCTCCATATTTAAACTAGACCTGTCAGTCTTTGTGCTGAGAAGTATGTTCGGTGGCTATAATGTATCCAATCCAGCTGTTTAACTTTTGAGGGGTTAAGCATGTTTGCATATAGCCATATAGCTGTTAGCATGCCCAGAGTGTGTGGAAATGAAGAGTCAGATAATTCCAAGCAGTGAATAAATCATTGCATCCATACCCACTTACAAAAGTGTAAGACAAGGATGCACCTTGGCCCCAATGTTGTTTAATCTTTACGTTAATGACATCCCAGTATTCCTCCATTCTACGGATGTTCACATGCCAAAGATCCTTAACAAACACAACATCTTTTTGTATGCAGATGACATGGCTTTGATGCCACACACTCAAGGAGGCCTGAGAAGATTGATGGGGAAATCTGGTGCCTATTGTGCTTCTAACTTTCTGAATATTAATAAGACTAAATTCAAAGTGGTGGTTTTTAGAAAAAGATGGCCTAAGTACAATTGGCACTCGAATGGAGAGCCTATAAAACAAAAAACAGACTTCTTCTCACATTTAGGGATGTTTTTTACAGATACAGGGTCTTGGGCCAACCACTTCAAACAAGGTTCTATAAAGGCAACTGTAAGCTCCAAAAAGGTAACTAAGTTACTTAGTTATAGCCACCCAATTACTCTGCTCCCCATTTTAAAGGTCCACAAGGTAAACATTGTACCAATGCTAATATATAGTGCAGATTTGTGGGGCCTATCAAAGGCCTCTTTACTTGAACAAAAATCAAGCAGGCTTTTTAAGAACTATTTTAGGGACTGACAGGAATACACCTGAAGCAGCAGTTAAGAGCTGAAACTGGCATTTATTCCATTTGTAGTTTAACAGTAATCAAAGTCTTTAATTACTGGTGGAGGATCCTCTCAATGGAACCTGACAGATTACCAAAAATGTGCCTTGAAGAACAGATGGACACACTTCAACCCACCACATGGATCAATCAATTTCTCCAAATTATCTCACATCTCGGCTTCTTAACACAATATCTCTTCTCAGTTGGACAGCAGGCTAAGGCAGTATTCAAATAAAGAGTTCTGGATGTTAATGCCCAAATGGATATTGAGTCTCTTGCAAACATCAAGTCATTGAAATGGCTGGCCAAAAATAAAATGTCCTTCCAAACAGAAAAATACTTGACAATGGGTTTGACTCAATACCATAGGATAGCTCTTACCAGAGCAAGATTCCCGCAGTTAAATTCTATGGCCAAATATGGACAATTCCACCAAGTGC